GGGCCCAGGAGCCCAAGGACTTGGGCCTTCTTTTTGCTGGATAGGAAGCACAGAAGTTGGGATTCAAACCGGCACCCATGTAGGATGTCACCACTATAGGTGGAGGCTTAACTCTGCCCAATGATTATTTTTTTAAAAGTTAAAGTTACAGAGAAAAGAGGAAGAGACAGAGAGGGAGGTTTCCCACTGGCTAGTTCACTTCCCACCCCGACGGCCACATTGGTGTGGACTAGGTCAACACCAGGAGCCAAGAGCTTCATCCTGCATGTGTGCGGTCTCCCACCCTGTGTGGCAGGGACTCGAACGCTAGCCACCTTCTGCTGCTTTTCCCAAACCACTGGCAGGAATCTGGATCAGAAGTGGAGCAGCAGTGACAGCAGTGAGAATCCATTTGGAGTGTCTGCACAGCCCGTGCTGACTCTACCTGCTGTGGTGTGGCACCTTCAATCTGTACTACTTAATTCTAAAAATCATGAATCAGTACTCTCCTCATATATTATGTTGAACATTCAGAAAGTTTTTTTTTTTTTATCGGAAAGGCGGATATACAGAGAGGAGAGACAGAGAGGAAGATCTTCCGTCCGATGATTCACTCCCTAAGTGAGTGCAACGGCCGATGCTATGCTGATCCGAAGCCAGGAACCTCTTCCAGGTCTCCCACGCGGATGCAGAGTCCCAAAGCTTTGGGCCATCCTCGACTGCTTTCGGGCCACAGGCAGGGAGCTGGAAGGGAAGCGGGGCCTCTGGGATTAGAACCTGCGCCCATATGGGATCCCGGGCGTGCAAGGTGAGGACCTTAGACTGCGCCACGCGCCGGGCCCTACATTCAGAAAGTTTTAAAAGAGGGTAAAAAGCTGTACATCTGTAACCTACAGGCAAGCAGTTTTGACATTCTTGCTTATATTCTTGAACTATTTTTTCCTATGAGATCAATTTGCTAAAAGAAAATTCTACTGGCCTGGCACAGTAGCTTAGTGGCTGAAGTCCTTGTCTTGCAAGTGCCAGCATCCCATATGGGCGCCAGTTCATATTCTGGCTGCTCCACTTCCCACCCTACAGGTGTCCTAGGAAAGCTGTGGAGGATAGCCCAAAGCCTTGGGACCCTGTACCCATGTGGGAGATCAGAAAGAGGCTCCTGGCTTCAGACCAGATCAGCTCAGCTCCAGCCATTGTGGTCATTTGGGAGTGAACCAGTGGATAGAAGATCTTCCTCTCTGTCTCTCCTTCTCTCTATAAATCTAACTTTCCAACAAAAATAAATAAATCTTAAAGAAAAATAAATAAAAAGATCCAAAGACTTAAATTTTTTTCTACAATCTCTTACCCTCTTCTGAGAAGGCAGTAAGGGAATGGGGAAGAATTAATTGTTTATATAATGTGGGAAGAAAAAGACCACTGAAGTTATTTAAACAAAATTTACAAACATCAAAGTCCAAAACCAATTTCATTATCTGTACTATATCATATTTAAAAGCTGACCGTATGTAATATGAAACAGTACGAGCTGCTAAGTCATCCAGTGTGGACTAAAACTCAGACTGCCATTCACCAGGACTGGTCTTTGATTAAAGCAAAACAAAAGAAAAATCTCACTTACTCTAATGTTCCCATTGCAAAATCTGGCTATCAGCTCCGATGGCAGCCTGCTCAGGTGTCTGTGGATGGTACTACAACGTATGGGAACACCATAACTGACTGAGTCTAATGGGAATAACTATTAGCTGCCTCCTACTATCACTCAGAATCTCTCACTTAGAAAAGCACATTTTTTAAAATGAGAGATGGGAAATGGCAAAATGAGGAAAAATGGAAGAGGAAACAGAGGCTACACACAAGGCTAGAAAATACACACAAAACTTAACCAAAACCTGGAGCTGAGAAAGCTCTGGTGTCTCTGAAATATCATAAAATACTCGACAGTATGCCTAACACGACACATGCTCCTCTAAAAACATCCTACAGTTTGAAATTCTTTGAAAATATGGATGTAAGTAACCAAATTTTTAATTGCAAAAGTTGTAGTCCCTTGCAATATAAATGAACAAATTGAAACAGAAATGGAAGGCAGCTTTTTACAAGGCTGATGACGGATTCTTTTCACCATTTTGTAACCATTACATGTGGATTTTAAGGTTGGATAACAAGTTTCAACCACAAACTCATAAAAAGTGACTAGGCTTAAATGGAATTGTTTTATGTCCTTACACGTCTGATTAAATTCTGAGTTTTATGGTCTCAGCTATGATTTGGAGAAGCAGTGTGGCGGACACCTTGGACTAGGTGACCAGCGTGGGCTCCGATATTTAGGTGTGCGTCTGTTGAGACTTAGTTTCTCCATCCATGAACACAGACAACATCAGGCATGATCTCCCATCAGTTTAACACAATAATCAAATCCTGGTTTAGACAGGGGAACCTGGTGGCTGGGAGCAGAGCAGGCAGCTTTTTCTTTATTAGAATCCCTTCAAGTTCGCACATGCCCAAAGTAACTTTTTTTTTTTTTAATATTTATTTTATTTTTATTGTAAAGGTAGATATACAGGGAGGAGGAGGAGAGACAGAAAGGTAGATCTTCCGTCCAATGATTCACTCCCCAAGTGAGCGCAACTGCAGGAGCTGTGCTGATCTGAAGCCGGGAGCCAGGAACCTCCTCCAGGTCTCCCACGCAGGTGCAGGGTCCCAAAGCTTTGGGCCGTCCTCAACTGCTTTCCCAGGCCACAAGCAGGGAGCTGGATGGAAGTGGAGCTGCTGGGATTAGAACTGGCGCCCATATGGGATCTCGATGCATCCAAGGCGAGGACTTCAGCTGCTAGCCCACCCCGCCGGGCCCCAAAGTAATTTTTTTAACCCCTAAATAAATAGGCCAATAAATTTCAGGATATATAAGATCAGGAGATATAAAAAATTTCATCTCTCCAATCTAACTTTAACGCTATTTTTTCAATACTTTGTGCTTGGTCATTGCTACTCTTTCAGCCTTCTCTTTCACAGGATTTACTGAAAAACATTTTAGAAACTCCTTCTATAAGGCAACACTGATGAAACCATTTGGACAGATTCTCTAAGATGATAGTATTCATATAGCTAATACCACCAGTGATACTGCATCCATATTTCCTCACCACACTGCCCTTGAGACCAACAGTATTTTTAAGTGTAATACTACCCTGGGTGGTCACAACAAACCAACCCTTCCGGCAAGTACGCCTGTGATCTTTGCGTCATTTCCACTGGCACCTCTGGCTGCCTGCTTACAGGAGCCACCGCTCTGTTAATAATGAATAACTCAATTAGGGAAAAACTGACACCCTGTCATTGACACAGCTGTATTGTTTTCTTCTACGTCATTTAAAATAACTAGACAATCTTGGGGCTATGTAGGTTACACATTTCAGCATTTCACTATCATTTGCAGCATACTGTTTGAATGCTGATTGCCCTCAAAAAGACCACGAACCCATCAAAGGCATTCTTATTTACAGGCACTTGAAAAATTTCACTGGAGAATGAATGATTTAAACAAACCTACTGTAAACAAAGCTTTGACTCACAATGCCTCATTCATAATAACATGAGACAGTGAGAATATCCACTAATAATTTCTATGGACTCTTAAACTTCATTGGGGGTATGGTTTGCATTTTAGAGACGGAATCACACATTCAGGAAAACAGAGGAAGCTTTTCAAGGTCACACAGTGTCTCAGTGTGAAAATTTAAACACTGGATGTCTGGCTAAGCCTTGCACTCTCCTTATCCATGTGAAATTGGCAAAAGATATTTTTTTTTCTCTTACCCTATGATCCAACCACTTGCCTGCTGGGGCAGGGAAAGGCCAGCTGTAAGGACACCATGCAGTTTGGAAGCTACATGGTGCTAACAGTATCACCGTGGAGGTCTTTTCCAGATACAATTCTTGTTATGCAATTTGCAGATTCTCCTTTTGCTGGGCTCTGCATACTTCCTCCCTGAAATCTCATCATGATTTATTCAACACAGAGCCGGATGTTTCATCTTTAATCCATACTCCATCCAGCAATACTCAGATCAATCCATCTCAAAACAAATGATGTCCAATAAAATCAAGACATGTGGAAAGCATCATCTCAGGTGTTTTTGCTTTTGCGGAAAAACACCGCGCCGATCTCAAAATCTTCTTGAATCAATCACTTTCCCTCTTCATTCATGCACAAACTCTAGCAAGCCCTTTTGCAGCTCTGGTACTAAAAAGAAAAAAATGACGCAAGGTGAAGAACATTGCTCACCGTTGCTTATTAAAGGGCGCTTGCGACTTTCACAATGAAATCAGAAAGAGCAGGGAAATCCCTACCATGGAAAAGCGCCTCAGGAAAGTCATAAAATAAGTCTGATCGAGATCAGAAGATAGATACCACAATACACGTGCGCGCGCGCGCACACACACACACACACATCCCAGAAAGATTCTCAAATACGAATGTGAAGGTTTTCATCAGGGAGCGGGCTGCCAACATGGAGAACGCGAAGACACAAGAACAGCATGAACTCGCTGGCATGAACACCTGAAGCACACAGATCACAAGGATGAAACCAAGACTTCAGCAACACAGTTCAATCCTAAGACTTCCATCCCGCACGGCCATGAACTTCACTGGGGTATGTGATTAGGGAAAAACAAGTGACCCTGTTCTGAAGGATTTTTTTCCCGACACAGTTGGCCAGGAATAAGCATTACCGGACGTGCCACACCTGTAGGAAGCGACAGCAGCCACCAGGACCCGAAATTCGTGCCTCCTTCCTCTCTGCAGAGACAAGGTGGCCGCACGAGGGATGCTCACAGGGTCTGGCTTTCCTCTTCCTCCGGACAAGATCTGTTTTCTAACTAGACCCTCCTTAGCAAAGGGCTCGATCCGATCAGGCACCCGGAGAGATCTGTCGGCGAGGTGAACCCGGGTGAGGCAAGGACCAGACCGAAAAGCCTGCCTGGCCGGGCAGCGGCCACCCTTCCCCGCCCCCACTCACCTCCCGGGGTGCAGCTGGACTGGGGCGGTCCGAGGCGCAGTCGCCATCACCATCGCCATCACTATGGGAGTTCGCCGAAGCGAACAGGAGGCCCCAGCGCTCCTGCCTCTCGCTCGGGTTCTCCAAAGCGGGTGGTGTTCTGCAGCCCGTCCCTCGGCGCGCGGGGCCAGTCCGAGACCTCGCGGTCGCCGCGATCGCTGCCGCCGCCGCCACTTCCGCGTCCGGATCCCTCCTGCCTTCCCTCTCTCCCCGGCTCGGTCCCTCGCGCCCGGAGCGCGGTGACGCCACCACCCGGCGACCGCACCGGGCAGTGAAGCTGCGCTGGGCGTGGGCGGTCGGCGCAGGCGCAGCGGAGGCAGCGCGCCGGAGCGCGGGAAGCGGCTGTTCGCGCGTGTCTTCACCTCAGGCTCCGCGGCGCGGTCACTCCGCGCCTCACCCTGAAGAGGGCTGCCCCCTGGCTGGTGGACACCCCTGGGGGAGACGGGGCTCCGGACAAGCGTCCCCTTCTGCCTCCGGCTTTCCTCCTCTTTGAATTAAAACTGACTGAGATAGATAAAGGGAAAAGATGCCGGCCACTCAGAAACCGATGAGATACGGACATACAGAGGGACACACGGATGTCTGCTTTGATGATTCTGGGAGGTAAGGTTGGTTGAGGAAGGATGTTTCCGGCGGCCAGCTCTGCCAGCGTGCTGTCAGCTGGGGGAGACTTGGGCAGATGTGGGGGCGGGGGGCGGATCGGCTTGGAATCTACAGGTTTCCTTCTTATTGTTGGATTCTGAGCGCCCTGGAAAAGTTACAATCTTAAATACCAGACTCATGCCACGCCAGCGGCTTCCCCCCTTCTCCGTGCTTCGTGTTAGTAATCTGATTAGATCAGAAAGATTTTTCTTCTAGTTTCTCAGGTGCCTGGCAAAATTAACAAATTCGACTCACTGAAAGAATCTTGATGTTCGGAATATTTCAGTGCTTCCCCCGTCTACACGCGCAGACACACACACACACACATATTTAAAATAAACTCTTTTCTCTCCATTCAGAAGACCTTTCTTCAGTAATAGAATCCTCGGTATTTTTAATGACAATTCATATGGTTCCTTTGAGTCAAGATGGCTGTATTTTCCTATGGCACAGCATGTAGATTTATTCAATTAAAAATCAAACTTGCAGCAAAAGTTTTTTTTTCCCCCCACGGGTTAAGATATCCCAAACTGCATTTAAGGGAGTTTTGCCATGAAATCATTCACCGTTTCAGCGTTTTTGAATGCAGCTGGCACAGTTCTTACCTGCTTTTGCAGGGACGGATGTCAGTGTTTTCCCAGGACTCAACTTTGTTTTCATTGATTGCATTTCCCTAAAAATTTTGCATGTTACAATGAAAGATTCTTCATGATTTGGACTAAACACAGTTAAGGTTGAGACAACTTATTTCTTAGCATACTGGTGATGCAGTTATTGTATAACATTCTTCAAAGGCTCAGAGGTGTAAAAAATAATTATTGATGGCCAGCGAAGAGAGAAAGCATTTTCTGCAATGGTAGTGTTTTTGTGTATTTCACATTTTTTTTAAATTGTAATTTAAAAAAATTTTTTAAATTTATTTTTATTGTAAAGTCAGATTTACAGAGGAGGAAAGACAGAGAAAGTTTGTTCGTTCCGTCAGGTGATTCATTCCCCAAGCGGCGGCAACTGCTGGAGCTGAGTTCATCCGAAGCCAGGAGCCAGAAGCTACTTCCAGGTCTCCCACACGGGTGCAGGAACTCAAGGCTTTGGGCTGTCCTCGACTGCTTTCCCAGGCCACAAGCAGGGAGCAGGATGGGAAGCGGGGCTGCTGGGATACAAACCAGAGCCCATGTGTGATCCTGGTGTGTGCAAGGTGAGGACAGGTCCTCATATTTGTTTTTACAAATTTGAAATATGATTCCAAGTACTTTTGTGTTTTAAAACACAAAATTTAATATAGTAAGGATATTGCTTTTTTTCCCCCCTGAAATGTTCTAATATACCAAAATTTCTGTTTGTATCACTGTAGTATTTAATGAAAAATTAGGGCCCTGCATAATGACTCAGTTGGCTGGTCCTAACCTTGCACATGGCAGTATAATCCATATTGTCACTGGCTCCTGTCCTGGCTGCTCCACTTCCCATCCAGCTCCCTGCTTATGGCCTGGGAAAGCAACAGAGGATGGTACAAACCTTGGGACCGTACACATACATGAAAGAACTGGAAGAAGCTCCTGGCTCCTGGCTTCAGATCAGCTCAGCTCCAGCCACTGGCGCCACTTGGAGAGTGAACCAGTGGACAGATGTTTTTCTCTGTTTCCTTCTCTCTGTAAAATCTGTCTTTCTGATAAAAATAAATAAGTGTTTAAAAGAAAAAGAATGTTTGGAAAGGTGTTAAAGCACTGCTAAGACACCATTTTGGATGCCCACCTTGCCACCTTGCATGTGGAGTGCCTGCCTGGTTCAAGTCTGAGCTGCCAACTACTGCCTGCTGCCATGTCTGGAAGGCAGCAGATGATGGGGCAAGTGCTCGGGTTTTTGCCACCCCTGTGGAGGCCTGGGTGATGTTCCTGGTGCTTGGTTTACCCCTCCCTAACCCTGGCCAGCGTGGGCATTTGAGGGAGTAGCCCACTACATGGAAGATCTACCTCTGTTGCTTTGTGTTTCAAACAAATAAATAAATCTAAGAAGAAATAATTTAGTGTTAAACTTTAAAAAAAAAGAAAAGATTTATTTTTATTGGAAAGTCAGATTTACAGAGAGAAAGATATCTTCAATCCGTTGGTTCACCCCCCAAATGGCCACAGTGGCCAGAGCTGAGTCAATCTGAGGTCAGGGGCCAGGAGTTTCTGCTGGGTCTCCCATGCGGGTGCAGGGTCCCAAGGCCTTGGGCCATCCTTGACTGTTTTCTCAGGCCACAAGCATGGAGCTAGAATGGAAGTGGGGCAGCTGGGACAGGAACTGGTGAACTGGTACCCGTATAGGATGCTGGCACATTCAGAGTGAGGACTTTAAGCTACTAGGCTACTGTGCAGGGCCCAGATTAACTTTTTGTTTTATTATTATTATCTCACTAATTTTATTATATGATTAGTCTGTAATTTCCCACTGACCTTCCCAGGTGGCACCTGCCACTTTGTGCATCTCAGCATACCTCCTGCTAGTAGTCCCTAGGAAGTGCAGATATTTTCGCAGTCTCTCTTGGAAACTAAAAGAAGCAGCTGTTTCCTGGGACTTATTCATTTTTGCTTTTCAGGAGTGAATGCCTCAAATGTTGTGTTTGAAAGGATTTGTTTTCTAGGTTACAATAAGAAAGTGTTTGGAAGGGGAAGATGGATTATAATCTTTTAGATGAATGGACTGTGCATCCATCCATTTATTCATTCAATAAAAGTTTGTTAAGGTTTTCATCTGCACACTGTTCGATGCCGGGGAAGCAGTGGTGCGAGGTGGACGTGATTCCCGGTGCTGTAGTGGTGACATAGTCCTTTATTACGTTATTACAGAAAATTGATGCCAGACAAGAACTGTAGAAAGGATTTAACGCACGTAGTAAAGTTAACAGGCTGTATCATAGAAGATTTTATGTACAAGAAAAATATTGGCTAATACTTTGATTTTATTTCATTTAAAAGTGATAAATGAAAAGACAAAAAGTTCAGTTGGAAGGTTCTCAGGCCTACAGCTGGATACCTTGTTAATGCATGTGCTTCCTTCACAGTTACATTGTGACTTGTGGGAGTGATGGAGATGTGCGGATCTGGGAAGACTTGGATGATGATGATCCAAAGTCCATTAATGTTGGAGAAAAGGCGTATTCATGTGCTCTGAAGGTATTCAAAGCGGTTATGTCAGCCGATATGATTTTCATACTGGGATAAAAATGATTTTTATAAGTTTTGAGTATGCATGCTTTCTTTAAAAGATTTGTTTGATTTGAGAGCTATAGTTACAGAGAAAGAGCTCTTTGATCCACTGCTTCACCCTCCACATGCCTGCAATGGCTGAGGGGAGGCCAGGGCAAAGTCAGGAGCCAAAAGCTCCTTCCAGGCCTGCCACGTGGAACAGGTGGCCAAGGACTTAGGCCATCTTTCAAGTGCTTCCCCAGGCACACTAGGAGGACAGCTTACATGACCCGGCACCCACATGGGATGCTGCATTTGCCTCTTGAACCAACATACTGCTCCCAAGTTAAATATATTTTTGAGGGCCCGGCGGCGTGGCCTAGCGGCTAAGGTCCTCGCCTTGAAGGCGTCGGGATCCCATATGGGCGCCAGTTCTAGTCCCGGCAGCTCCACTTCCCTTCCAGCTCCCTGCTTGTGGCCTGGGAAAGCAGTCGAGGACGGCCCAAGGCTTTGGGACTCTGCACCTGGGTGGGATACCCGGAAGAAGTTCCTGGCTCCTGGCTTCGGACCGGCATAGCATCGGCCGTTGTGCTCACTTGGGGAGTGAATCATCGGAGGGACAGAAGATCTTCCTCTGTGTCTCTCCTCCTCTCTGTATATCTGACTTTCCAATAAATAAATCTTTAAAAAAAAAATATATATATATATATATATTTTAGATCTGACCTTTTTTAAAAAATTTGTTTTATTCATTTGAAAGAGTGACAGAAAGATTGTCCATCCTGTAGTTCATTTCCAAATTACTACAATAATCAGGAATGGGTCAGTAGGTGCCAGGAGCTGGGACCTTTGTCTGAGTCCCCCATGTGGTGGCAGGGACCATGTGGGCAATCTTGTGCCATCTTCAGACTTGTTCGTGGGGACGTGTATCAGAAGTGTAGCCAGTTGGAGTCCCTTCAGCTCTACTTCTGATCCAATTTCCTGCTAATGTGTGTGGCAGGCAACAGGGATGGCCCAAGTACTTGGGTTCTTGCTTTGGGCTTGACCCAGACCGGCTGCTTGGTCTCCAGGTTGCCATTTGGGGAGTAAATCATGGAAGGAAGATTTTTATCTTTCTCTGCCTCTCTCTCATCATCCTGCCTTTCAAGCATTAAATAGGCATGGACTGCTTTATCAGTGGCAAATAGGCTTAATGTGGCACGGTAGGCTAAACCTTCACTTGCAGAATTGGCATCCTGTATGGTTACCAGTTCATGTTCTTGCTGTTCTTCCCATCCATCTGCTTACTTGTGGCCTGGGAAAGCTATTTTCCATGAACTTTTTAAAAAAAAAAGATTTATTTATTTTTATTGAAAGGCAGATACACAGAGAGGAAGATCT